AATTCTTAAATGCATATTTTGCTTGAAAACAACCCACTGTCTGAAAATTACTGAACATGCCCTAAGAGTTTAAAGAAAATTTATTAGTTAACAGGACATTTTTAAAGAATTTTTTAAAAATCTTTATAAAACGAGTAATTTGATTAAACACACCCGCAGTCAGAAATGAACTGAACATACTCTATGATATATTATTGGAATTTGACAACTAATTTATGAAAACCTATAGAAACAGAAGTAAGATTAAAAATATAAAGTTAATATGAATTGAAAACTTAAATCAGTTAGATTAAACATACCCAGTGGCAACTCTGAACATACTCCCAAAACTAGAACTGAACTAGAACAGAACTAGAACTGAACTAGAACAGAACTAGAACTGAACTAGAACTGAACTAGAACTGAACTAGAACTGAACTAGAACTGAACTAGAACTGAACTAGAACTGAACTAGAACTGAACTAGAACTAGAACTGAACTAGAACTGAACTAGAACTGAACTAGAACTGAACTAGAACTAGAACTGAACTAGAACTGAACTAGAACTGAACTAGAACTGAACTAGAACTGAACTAGAACTGAACTAGAACTGAACTAGAACTAGAAGAACTAGAACTGAACTAGAACTGAACTAGAACTGAACTAGAACTGAACTAGAACTAGAACTGAACTAGAACTGAACAACTAGAACTGAACTAGAACTGAACTAGAACTGAACTAGAACTGAACTAGAACTGAAAGAACTGAACTAGAACTAGAACTGAACTAGAACTGAACTAGAACTGAACTAGAACTGAACTAGAACTGAACTAGAACTGAACTAGAACTGAACTGAACTAGAACTGAACTAGAACTGAACTAGAACTGAACTAGAACTGAACTAGAACTGAACCAGAACTGAACTAGAACTGAACTAGAACTGAACTAGAACTGAACTAGAACTGAACTAGAACTGAACTAGAACTGAACTAGAACTGAACTAGAACTGAACTAGAACTGAACTAGAACTGAACTAGAACTGAACTAGAACTGAACTAGAACTGAACTAGAACTGAACTAGAACTGAACTAGAACGAACTAGAACTAGAACTGAACTAGAACTGAACTAGAACTGAACTAGAACTGAACTAGAACTGAACTAGAACTGAACTAGAACTGAACTAGAACTGAACTAGAACTGAACTAGAACTGAACTAGAACTGAACTAGAACTGAACTAGAACTGAACTAGAACTGAACTAGAACTGAACTAGAACTGAACTAGAACTGAACTAGAACTGAACTAGAACTGAACTAGAACTGAACTAGAACTGAACTAGAACTGAACTAGAACTGAACTGAACTAGAACTGAACTTGAACTGAACTAGAACTGAACTAGAACTGAACTAGAACTGAACTAGAACTAAACTAGAACTGAACTAGAACTAAACTAGAACTGAACTAGAACTGAACTAGAACTGAACTAGAACTGAACTAGAACTGAACTAGAACCAAACTAGAACTGAATTAGAGCTGAAATAGAACTGAATTAGAACTGAAATAGAACTTAACTAGAACTGAACTTTAACTGAACTAGAACTGAATTAGAACTGGACTAGAACTGAACTAGAACTGGAACAGAACTGAACTAGAACTGAACTAGAACTGAATTAGAACTGAACTAGAATTGAACTAGAACTGAACTAGAACTGAACTAGAACTAAAGTAGAACTGAACTAGAAATGAAAAGAACAGAACACATTAACTAAACGCACCCACTATCAACACTGAACATACCTACGTAACATTTTTGACAACTCTCTGATAAGTGATATATAAAAGTTTATATTTTTGTAAAATCTTAAACCCAAACCAATGTAGTAAAACAAATTTATAAATATTGTTTCAATGAACTTTAAACTTAAACCAACTGTTCATAACTGACTTCCATATCTCTCATATGTAAACTTAAAATTAATTCAAAAGTCTATTTTGAACCTCTTCATAAATAAGAATGTGTATATTAAATGTTAATAACTGTTACTAAAGTATTTTTGCATGTATGAAATAATAATAAAAACAAGGTAATAAAAATTCAAACATAATTTTTATAAATTAACCAACATTACAATGATGAATATGAGGTTTAAGTTGGCAAAAAATTCAGTTTATTTTGAGCTTACACTGAAAAAAATTAAAAAGTTTAAATTTACGTACAAGCGAACTAGAACAGAACGTGAAATGAAATAAAACTGAAGTACAACTGTACTAGAAATGAACGAGAACTGAATTAGAACTGAACTAAAACTGAACTAGAACTAGAACTGAACTAGAACGGAACTAGAACAGAACTAGAACAGAACTAGAACAGATCAAGAACATAACTAGACAAAACTAGAACAGAACAGAACTAGAACAGAACTAGAACAGAACTAGAATAGAACTAGAACAGAAATAGAACAGAACTAGGACTGATACTAAAAATGAACCAGAACTGAACTAGAACTGAACTAGAACAGAACTAGAACTGAACTAGAACTGAACTAGAACTGACCTCGAACTGAACTAGAAACTGAACTAGAAACTGAATAACTGAACTAGGAAAACTGAAATAGAACTGAAATAGAACTGAGAAAACTAGCACTGAACTACAACAAACCTAGACACTAAACTAGAACTGAACTAGAACCTAGAACCTGAACTAGAACTGAAACTAGAATCTGAACTAGAACTTGAACTAGAACTGAACTAGAACTGAACTAGAACTGAACTAGAACTGAACTAGAACTGAACGTAAGAACTGAACTAGAACGTTAAATAGAACTGAAATAGAACTGAACTAGAATGAAATAAGAAATGAAGTAGTAGAACTGAACTAGAACTGAAATAGAACATGAAATAGAACTGAACTAGAACTGAAATAGAAATGAAGTAGAACTGAAATAGAACTGAATAGAACTGAACTAGAACTGAACTACAGCTGAATACAACTGAACTAGAACTGAACTAGAAAACAACTAGAACAGAACAGAACTAGAACAGAACTAGAACAGAAACAAGAACAGAAGTAGAACAGAAGTAGAACAGAACTAGAACAGAACTAGAACAGAACTAGAACAGAACTAGAACAGAACTAGAAACAGAACAAGAACAGAACTTGAACAGAACTAGAACAGAAGAAGAACAGAAGTAGAACAGAACTAGAACAGAACTAGAACAGAACTAGAACAGAACTAGAACAGAACTAGAACAGAACTACAACAGAACTACAACAGAACTACAACAGAACTACAAAGAACTAGAACAGAACTAGAACAGAACTAGAACAGAACTAGAACAGAACTAGAACAGAACTAGAACAGAACTAGAACAGAACTAGAACAGAACTAGAACAGAACCTAGAACAGAACTAGAACAGAACTAGAACTGGACTGAACTAAGAACTGAAACTAGAACAGAACTAAAACAGAATCTAGAACAGAACTAGAACAGAACTAGAACAGAACTAGAAACAGAAATAGAACAGAACTAGAACAGAAACAGAACGATGAACCTAGAACAGAACTAGAACAGAACTAGAACAGAACTAGAAGACTAGACAACTAGAACAGAAGTAGAACAGAACTAGAGCAGAACAGAAAACTAGAAACAGAACTAGAACAGAACTAGAACAGACTAGAACAGAACTAGAACAGAACTAGAACAGAACTAGAACAGAACTAGAAAACTATAACTGAGAACTTTAGCCGCTCCACAGTGACAGAGCAATGTTTCAAAGCACCAGGAATAGTAGGGAAGACTGGCTCGGGAAAAGAACAGCCATCGAACTGAACCTTCCAAAGTCATCGTGCTCAGTAGAGATCTTTGAGAATGTTACGTCTAAGGATGTTCGTCAAATAAAGAGATGTGGAAGTCATTGCGCCCGGCAGGTCACCTTTAAGTGGTAAACATCGATCGAAATGATCTCGATGGGGGGATTAGTAACAATTATTTGGAAGTAGGCTCTGTGATAAAATAGTATCAGTGGCATCTCTTTATTTCTTCTTTATATATTAAAAGATACGATTAACAGTAATTATTTCTGTAAGTATATACAATCTCATCATAGAGATGATGGCTCCCAAAAAAATATTATCTGTTTCATTTTTATTATCAACCTAAATAATACGATATTAAAAACAAGAAAGACAGGAAAAGAATATGTTTAAATAAAATTCACTACTGGAAAAAATATAAAAATTAAACATAAAATATTCAAGGATTGCGACGAAGGCAAAAATATCCCCCCCAAAAAAGTAAGGTTCACAAGGTTAAAGAAAAGTAAAGAAAACAGCAAACTGACACACATACACACTTATAGGGAATACGACCACCGACATGAGTTGAAGTAATTAAAATAACAACAATGTATATTGTGCATGAGTAAGACCGAAAAGTACATTTCCTTTTATGCATGTCCTTGTGCCAATCAAAAAAAAAAAAAAAAAAACAAACCACACTTAAATGTATAATAAGAAAACGAAGAAGTGAGTGGGAGAAAAAAAAAACTGGAAACGGAAGTTGAATAAACCTGATTTCAATTAAAAATTTAAATCAATTTTTATGTTACCGGTTTTATTATACAAAATTTACATAAAAGAAATACAACTGTTACTTAAACAATTGAATTAAATAATACACTAGCAGCCACTTACCTTTAAACGTTTATTCCTTACTGTAACACCATTTAATGACTTGATCGCATTTTGGGCATCAATTTCGGAAGCAAAATCAACAAAAGCATAACCAAAACTGTAGCCAGTCTGTTGCAATTTCATTTTACAGTTTATTGTTGTTATTATGTTGTATTCCCAAAAGGACACCCACCGCCAACACACCCACACAGATTGTTAAATTTAACGTGATGAGATAATAAAAACAATGGCGTTTGATTATACAAGTGAGTATGTTTGTGTGTGGAAAAATTGAAAAAGAAAGGTGGGAAATATAAGAATTAAAAAAATGTATATTTTAATATTTAAAGAATTTAAATAAGTTTCAACAGATATTACAGGTTGAACACAACAAATGCGGGACAGTTTAAATTTTTTATCTAGGCTGTAGAGTTTAGTCTATAGAGACCAACTACAAACTAAACAAAAGTCTAGACGATACTATAGTTCAGATAGACTAGAATGGAGATTAGATTATGGACCAGACTAAAGACCACACTATAGACTAGACTAGATTATAGACTAGACTAGACACTAGACTATTGACCAGACTACAGACTAGATACTGGACTATAGACTGGACTATAGACTGGACTATAGACTAGACTATAGACTATACTATAGACTAGACTATAGACTATACTATAGACTAGACTATAGACTATACTATAGACTAGACTATAGACTAGACTATAGACTTGACCATAGACTAGACTATAGGCTAGACTATAGACTAGACTGTAGACTAGACTATAGACTTGACTATAGACTAGACTAGAGACTAGACTATAGACTAGACTATAGACTAGACCATATACCTGACTATAGATTAGACTAAAGACTAGACTATAGAGTTAACGATAGACTAGACTATAGACTTTACTAAAGACTAGATTATAGACTAGACTATAGAATAGACTATACCCTAGAATATAGACTATAGTGCAGACTGTAAACTAGACTATATTCCAAACTGTAGACTAGACTATAGTCCAGACTATAGACCAGACTACAGTCCAGATTGTAGACCAGACTATAGTCCAGACTATAGTCCAGACTGTAGACTAGACTATAGTCCAGACTATAGACTAGACTATAGTCCAGAATATAGACTACACTATAGTCCAGACTATAGACTAGACTATAGTCCAGACTATAGTCCAGAATACAGACTAGACTATAAGTCAGAAAAAGATTAAAGTCCAAACTATAGACTTGACTATATTCCAGACTATACACTAGTCTATAGGTTATATATATAGACTATAGTATAGACTTGACTGTAGACTAGACTATAGACTAGACTGTAGACTAGACTATAGACTAGACTATAGACTAGACTATAGACTAGACTATAGACTAGACTATAGACTAGACTATAGACTAGACTATAGACTAGACTATAGACTAGACTATAGACTAGACTATAGACTAGACTATAGACTAGACTATAGACTAGACTATAGACTAGACTATAGACTAGACTATAGACTAGACTATAGACTAGACTATAGACTAGACTATAGACTAGACTATAGACTAGACTATAGACTAGACTATAGACTAGACTATAGACTAGACTATAGACTAGACTATAGACTAGACTATAGACTAGACTATAGACTAGACTATAGACTAGACTATAGACTAGACTATAGACTAGACTATAGACTAGACTATAGACTAGACTATAGACTAGACTATAGACTAGACTATAGACTAGACTATAGACTAGACTATAGACTAGACTATAGACTAGACTATAGACTAGACTATAGACTAGACTATAGACTAGACTAGACTATGGACTAGACTATAGGCTAGACTATAGACTAGACTATAGACTAGACTATAGACTAGACTCTAGACTAGACTATAGACTAGACTATAGACTAGACTTTAGACTAGACTATAGACTAGACTATAGACTAGACTATAGACTAGACTATAGACTAGACTATAGACTAGACTATAGACTAGACTATAGACTAGACTATAGACTAGACTATAGACTAGACTATAGACTAGACTATAGACTAGACTATAGACTAGACTATAGACTAGACTATAGACTAGACTATAGACTAGACTATAGACTAGACTATAGACTAGACTATAGACTAGACTATAGACTAGACTATAGACTAGACTATAGACTAGACTATAGACTAGACTAGACTAGACTAGACTAGACTATAGACTAGACTATAGACTAGACTATAGACTAGACTATAGACTAGACTATAGACTAGACTATAGACTAGACTATAGACTAGACTATAGACTAGACTATAGACTAGACTATAGACTAGACTATAGACTAGACTATAGACTAGACTATAGACTAGACTACTAGACTAGACTATAGACTAGACTATAGACTAGACTATAGACTAGACTATAGACTAGACTATAGACTAGACTATAGACTAGACTATAGACTAGACTATAGACTAGACTATAGACTAGACTATAGACTAGACTATAGACTAGACTATAGACTAGACTATAGACTAGACTATAGACTAGACTATAGACTAGACTATAGACTAGACTATAGACTAGACTATAGACTAGACTATAGACTAGACTATAGACTAGACTATAGACTAGACTATAGACTAGACTATAGACTAGACTATAGACTAGACTATAGACTAGACTATAGACTAGACTATAGACTAGACTATAGACTAGACTATAGACTAGACTATAGACTAGACTATAGACTAGACTATAGGACTAGACTATAGACTAGACTAGATAGACATAGACTATAGACTAGACTATAGACTAGACTATAGACTAGACTATAGACTAGACTATAGACTAGACTATAGACTAGACTATAGACTAGACTATAGACTAGACTATAGACTAGACTATAGACTAGACTATAGACTAGACTATAGACTAGACTATAGACTAGACTATAGACTAGACTATAGACTAGACTATAGACTAGACTATAGACCATGCTATAGACTAGACGATAGTCCAGTCTATAGTTTGTGCAGATTATAGACTAAATTCACACATACTACACTTTAGTCCAAACTTCACCGTAGTCCTGTTTTAATTTTCTGAACGATATCTTTTAATTTAAATTTTTTCACTGTTCACTTTTTGTTGTGCACCACCTGTTATTTAACTTAAATTTCACCTGCGCAAAGCTAGTGAGTGACTTTCAAAATGTACTGGTGAACTTTTAAGATAAATAATTTAGACAATATTTTTGACGATGACACTAATGTCTGTACTGAAATGTATGTGTCCTAGAATAATGTTGACAGCAGATATTTTAGAAAAAAAAGAGATAATAATGACAAGTAAATCTGAAAAGATTTAGTACAATATTAATCTAATTTAAAGGTTAAAAAGAACATAATTTTAAAGGATTTATAAATTTTTGAAGGAGAGGTGGATTAAAGTTGAATTTTGCCTATTCACTATTCTAAAACACATCATCTGAGTAAAAACTAAATTAATGAAAATTCTATATAGAAAAGAAAACCTTACCTTATAGTCTTTCATGATACGACAGGTATTGATAGGACCACACGTCCTAAATAATGCATACAGTTCACGATCTGTCATATCTTGAGGCAAATAATTCACAATTAGATTCGTACCATTACAGCCCTGTGTATCACCACAATCGCCGCCCCCGCTATTCACCGAATTTGTGCTAATCGCTGGTGCCATGTTGCACATTGAGCCCATGGCACTGCCACCACCTGAAAAATCATTATAACCACCGCCACGACCACCGCGATGATTCATTGCTGAGGGACCTGGATACGATGAGGTGAAATCTGTGTCCTGTGGTGAAAACGCATAACGTGACTGAAATATCAAGTCAAAGAATTTTGGAAACATTTATTTTGTAGATGGCGCTTTTGTCTATTTTACACTGTTGAGGTTTTTGAGGTTTTTATTTTTTATTTATTTGTTAATTAATCGTTGCATTATATTATATAGTTTTCATATTTCACAAACAAGTTTAAACAAAATATATTTTTTGTTGCAATTGCATACGATTTTAATTGTTTTGTTTTTTTACATTGCAAAATTTTTTGTAAACCGTTTTGAACAATTAAAGGAAAAAGTGGGGGATTAAAGTTGTAATATTTTCAAGAACTTTTGTAACAGTTTTGTATTTTTCAGTATTATTTATATATTTTTTTCTTTAGTTGGCAAATCAAAATTCAAATTACAACACACTTTACATTAACTATTTTACAGAACGAAAAAATAAGAATGGTTTCAATTGTAATTTATTTTAAAACGAAATTATAACAATCACAACAACAACAATTTGCAAGCTTTTTTTCTAAAGGTAAATGTGGTAAAAAATATATTTTTTATATATAAAAAGGTGGTTTTTCAAATGAAATTTTTAAAACAAAAGGATTTTTGAGATGAAAACATAAAAATATAAATTATGAATTTTAATTGTAAATACACCATTTCCTAAGACTAACCTATAGTCCAGACTGTAGCCTGAACTATTGTCTAGCCTATAGACTAAACTGTAGTCCAGACTATAGACTATAGTCTAGACGATAGCCTATAGTCCAGACTGTAGACTAAATTATGATGCAGACGATAGACTAAACTATAATCCAGACTATAGACTATAAAGTCCACACTATAGACTAAACTATAACCCAGACTATAAACTAAACTACAGTCCAGATTATAAACTAAACTATAGCCCAGATTATAGACTATATAGACCAAACTATAGTCCAGACTATAGACTAAACTGTAGTCCAGACTATACTCAAAAATATAGTCCAGACTATAGACTAAACTACAGTCCAGACTATAGTCTAAACTATAGTCCAGACTATAGACTAAACTAAAGTCCAGACTATGGACTAAATTACAGTTTAGACGATAGACTAAACTATAGTCCAGACTATAGACTAAACTATAGTCCAGACAATAGACTAAACTATAGTCCAGACTATAGACTAAACAGTAATCCAGATTAGATTCTAAACTACAGTCCAGACGATAGACTAAACTATAGTCCAGATTATAGAATAAACTATAGTCCAGATTATAGAATAAACTATAGTACAGACTACAGACTAAATTATAGTCCAGACTATAGCCCAAACTATACACTAAACTATAGTACAGACGATAGACTAACTTGTAGTCCAGATTATAGAATAACTATAGTCCAGAAGATAGACTAAACTACAGTGTAGTCCATTCTATACACTAAACTGTAGTCCACACTATGGACTAATCTAAGTTCAGATTATAGACTAAACTATAATCCAAACTATACACTAAACTATAGTCCAGACTAAAGACTAAACAATAGTCCGGACTATAGACTAAACTACAGTCCAGATTATAGACTATATAGATATATAGACTAAGCGATAGTCCAGACTATAGACTAAACTGTAGTATAGACTATAGACTAAACTATTGCCCAGACTATAGATTAAACTACAGTCCAGACTATAGACTAAACTATATTCCAGACTATAGACTAAACTATAGTTCAGACTATATACTAAACTATAGTCCAGACGATAGACTAAACTATAGACCAGACTCAAGACTTAACTATAGTCCAGACTATAGACCAAACTATAGTCCAGACGATAGATTACTCTATATTCCAGAACTGTAGCCCAGACTATAAACTAAACTATAGTCCAGACTATAGCCCAAACTATATTCCAGACGATAGACTACACTATAGCCCAGACTATAGACTTAACTATAGTCCAGGCTGTAGACCAAACTATAGTCCAGACGATAGACTACACTATATTCCAGACGATAAACTTTCCTATAGTCGAGACTATAGACTAAAGTATAGTCCAGACGATAGACTAAACTACAGCGCAGACTATAGACTAAACTATAGCCCAGACTATAGACTCAACTATAGTGCAGACGATGGACTAAACTATAGTCCAGACGATAGACTAAACTATAGTCCAAACTATAGACTAAACTATAGACTAAACAATAGTCCAAACTTTAGACTAAACTACTGTCATGGCTATGTATAGACTGACTATAGTTCAAACTAGAGACTAGACTATAGTCCAGACCATAAACAAGGCTATAGTCCGGATTATAGACAAGACTATAGAGGAAATGGTGTAATCCTTTTTTTTGTGTTATTTCCAAAGGTTAAATAAAACAATGAAAAAAAACTAATTAATGAATTAAATACGAAATGGTGCTTAACGCTAGAAAACTACAAAAACAAACTATAATTTTTAATAAATAATTTAATGGTTTATGATTTTGTTAAACTAATTTCTAAAAATAGTGAAAAAAAGCATTCCTCATACCACTAAGTTTAAACAAAAACTATATTGAAAGAAATATGTTTAAATTTAAATTTTTGGAAATTTTTAAAGCAGGATTTAATATTATTTTTTTTTTTTTTTCAACAAATTTATTGACTCAAACAAAAGGATAGGGCGCACTTTATTAAATAGCCAATTGTAGAAAATTTAATTAAATTTTTATAGATTTAATTGGTGTTTTTGTTGTTAATGTTTGTTTTTTTTTTCAATTAGAGTTTTGTGGTGGGTTTTTAAAAAATTGTTTTCATTAATTATTGTAGAAAATTTGAGGGAAATTAAATAACTAAATTATTGTTTTACATAAATAAAAAAACTAAATTTTATTTTAATAAACTAATTAAAAATTGTTTAAATATTAATAATATATTGTTGTAGCAGTATTTATGTATGAGTTAGTGGTATAAATATTTGGATTATATATACATAGGATGGTTAAGGTTTATATATAGATTTATGGGGATTTAATAACTAAATGGCTTTAAGCCTTAAAAGAAGTTGAGTTATAGTTTAGGAAAGCTTATTAACATTACTTTTATAGAATATATATATTCAAGGATATATCTAAAACTCACTAATTTATAAACATATAATTTTTTTTTTATTAAACTTATAAATTCTAAGACCAGCCCTATCGTTTCCGTGATAGTCACCGATCTACAAACTTATATTTTCTTTTAAATCAGTACAACAATACCCTTATTCTTAATTAACTATTCATTTTTGTTTGATCAAACAACTATTTGGTTTTTGAAACTAAACTAAAGTACTGATTAAAGACTAGATTATAGCCCAGACTAAAGATTATACTTTAGTCTGAACTAGAATATAGTAGAGACCTAAGTCTACACCATAGTTCAAACTATAGACTACACTATTGTACAGACTATAGTCCAGACTGTAGTCCAGCCTTAAAATTAGACTACATTCCAGACTAAAGACTAGACTATAGTCCAGACTATATAGACTAAACTATATACTAGACTAGACTATAGTCCAGACTATAGACTAGACTATAGTCCAGACTATAGACTAGACTATAGTCCAGATTATAGACTAGACTATAGTCCAGACTATAGACTAGACTATAGTCCAGACTATAGACTAGACTATAGTCCAGACTATAGACAAGACTATAGTCCAGACTATAGACTAGACTATAGTCCAGACTATAATCCAGACTATAGACTAGACTAGACTATAGTCCAGACTATAGACTAGACTAGACTATAGTCCAGACTATAGAGTAGACTATAGTCCAGACTATAGACTAGACTATAGTTCAGACTATAGACTAGACTATAGTCCAGACTATAGACTAGACTATAGTCCAGACTATAGACTAGACTATAGTCCAGACTATAGACTAGACTATTGTCCAGACTAAAGATTAGACTACAGTCCAAACGAGGCAATAGCCAAGACTTAAGACTAAACTACAGTCTAGACTTAAGACTAAAATACCATCCAGACTAAAGACTAAATTATAGCCCAGACTATATATTAGACTATTGTCCAGACTAAAGACTAGACTATAAGCCAGACCTGAGACTAGACTACAGTCCAGACTATAGACTATTGCCCAGACTAAAGACTAGACTATAACCCAGACTATAGACTAGACTATAGCACAGACTATAGACTATTGCCCAGACTAAAGACTAGACTATAACCCAGACTATAGACTAGACTATAGCACAGACTATAGACTAGACTATTGTCCAGACTAAAGACTAGACTATAACCCAGACTTAAGACTAAACTACAATTCAGAATAAGACTAGACTATACTCCAGACTAAAGACTAGACTGTAGTCTAGACTACAGTATAGACTATAGTCCAAACTAAAGACTAGACTATAGATTAAACTATAGTCCAGACTATTGCCCAGACTATCGTCCAGACTAAAGATTAGACTATAGCCCGGACTTAGGACTAGACTACAGTTCAAACTATAGACCAAAATAAGAACCTGATCTTTAGTCCAGACTAAAGATTAGGCTATAGGCTAAGTCGAAAAAATAGTCTAGAAGAATTAAATAAACATAATATCAACAGAACTAAAGTGTTTCAGAAACTTTTCCAAATGATCCTGTGAACCAGTCATAATTTAAAAAGAATATTTAAATGTATATACTTTGACTCAAAGTCACAAAAAACTTGTAGAACTGTTAGATAAATGGTAAATATCTATAGAACTAAAGCGTTTCAGAAAATGTTGAAAATGGTCCTTCGAACCAGACTTCTTCTAAAAAGAATATTTAAATCAAAAATGCTTCTATTCTCTAGAACAAAACACTAGAAAGATTAGATAAATGATTATAACAAGAATATTAAAACATATCAGAATGTTTTCTAAATGGTCCTTCGAACTAGACTAAATTTAAGATTGACAACACGTGGCCATGTGAACCATCAGTCTAAAGTAAAAGTTCTCAAAAACAGTAAGGGAAACCATAATTTATTTTATATTTCCAGAGTATTAAAGCTTTTTG